TCATAATGCGACAGTTTTCAATATTTCTGACGAACACTATCTTTCAATATATACATAATATATATAATTTAAGCTTATTTAAAATCAATAACAGAAACGCAGATCAAATTCTTTTTTTGTTATATGTTATTTTACACCTTTCATATATTGAACTAAACTGTTTTTATGCGATGTAAAATATCAGCCATTTACGTTTAAAATATTTTGAAATATACGCCGAAAACGACTGAAAGTGTTCAATATAGATCTATTCAGCCAAATTATAGAATAGTGTGTCAGTCGAAAATATTGAAAAAAAACTGCTTTATATGACAAATTGGGTGGAGTTAGATAGCTTTTTAGACTATTAATTTATAACTTATTATCTAAATAGTATTGTGTTTACTAAGACATAGGGAGGTTATCCACTCAATATTTTATGGGGTCATGTGTGCACATTTTGTGATTTAAACATCGATCGACTCATGGTCTCAATCAAAATCTCAAGAATCTCCACAACCCCTTTAATGTTAATTACCATATGCTCACTGGTGACATGCTTGATGGGTACTTCCTGGAGTTGTGGTGAGAAGCCGTGACCAGTAGAGCTAATTCGTGTAGAGTAGAGATAGGTCACTACTTCGGACAATGGAAGATGGTCGTGCAATTTCGTGGATTAGTAGAAATTAGACATTAACATAGTTGGATGCCGGCTCAGTGGTCTAGAGGTTAAGCGTTCGCGTGAGAGATCGAATGCCCTGTGTCCAAATCCCGCGTCAGTGATCGTGGGTGTGCACTGCTGAGGAAACCCGTACTGAGACGAAACAGCTCTCCGTGCCTCCAGTTTTTCACTGATGGCCTACCTTTGATCGACTCATGGTCTCAACCAAGAACTCAACAAAATCCACAATCCCATTACTGATAATTTAAATTTTAGTGTAGAAATGATGTATTCTTCTTTTGAGAAAAATGTATTTATTTGACTATGTCGATAAACCTTGTGTCAAAAAGATTTTCATTTTTCCATTTCAGAATTTATATATCTCCATCTACTTTAGTGTCTATATTTAAAGTATGCTTTTAGTTTACATCACTGGTTAGTTTTAGCTGGATAAATATTAGAACCAGTCAAGTGTTTTGTTATAGAACGGAGCTTCTCGACACTATCTAATCACTATCACTCCAAGCATTGAGTCCATGACGTTCTTTCTTTCCGATGAGTACATAAGTATCATATCACTGAGTTGTTAAACAGTGGTTTACTCCCTATCATGGTTGTGAATGTGAACTGTTGAAAAATTCCATACCTTGATGTAACAGTTGTCCAATACTCTCTGCATTTCAATGGTTGTCTAGCTAAAGTCAGTCAATAAAATAAATTACAAATTGAACGATCTCCAAAATCCTCTTATACTAAAAGCATATTTGTTACCAAGACACCAAAAATAGAAAATAATAAACAGTAATTTTTATTCAAGAAATTCATTTTGTTGTTATTTAGCATAATTAATTAGATAAATTCTATCTGCCCTGTATTATTGATAGTTGAAGATTGACCTTTTTAACAGTCTGTCAAGAAAGAAAAAAATGTATGTTCAATGATATTTGTATTGTATCACTAAGTTTCAAGTAAACTTTGGCGTCTTCACACATAAATTGATTGATGGATTGATTGGTTAATATGTTGATTGATTGGTTGACTTACTAACTGGTTGTTTATAAAAAAAATTTTAATTGTAATGTAAATGTTAACATCTGAACTGTCTCCTCTTTTTTTAGTTAATTCTTGATTTATTCACATAAGTCGAAAAAAACAGGATATGGACTTTCAATATTTGAAGTAGCAATAAATTTTATTGAATTAAATCAGTTACTTACGCCTTCACATTTTTAAATGATCTATTTTTTCTTTAAGCAATGATGGATAGTGGCTAGCAGTGAAATCCAGAACCCACGTTTCTCCCTATTTGGGACTCGTCAGCTAGATGTACCTGCATCTCAGAGTTGATGTTCACTCTGGGACTCGAACCCAGTACCATTCGCTATAAACTCCATCGCGTTATCCACTCAGCTTGTGAATTAAGGTAATATGGAGGCATACGCACAGTATGTACATATGCCAATAACAGGATGATCGACTGCAGTCTTAAACCTCAATGGGAAGATACAAGCTAAACAATACCATGTGAATTCTATTTTTTTTGTTTAACGATGCATTTTGTTACTACAATACTCTTTCAATTTAAACTTTAGTGAATTTAATCATTATATACATGAACCATATAATATGGATATGGGTTTTTTTGTAAAAAGTGTAGAATCCTTCTTAATACTTAACATTATTATGTTCAATAAGAAACAATATTATAGTTTTCTTTTCTTCTTGTTGATCCTACGAGTAAGCGTGAGCTATTTACTTTATAATTTATTTATCTTATACATTGTTTCAGAAGATGAAACTATAGTGACTGAATTGGTTAAACATTTTCATCAATATGGATAATTGATAGCTAATGAAATATTGAAATTGTTATCTTGATATTTGCCCAGGACAGGGTTGGATGGAGAATGCTGGTGAGCGGCCTATGCTCCTTCACGAGGAGTAACAGGCGTAAGTAAGTAAGTAAAGTATCTTGATATTATTTAATTGCATAATTATCAAAGTAATAAAGAAAATTCAAGTTTACATTCATCTTTAACAATTAAGATATTCAGTTAAAATTGACTTTTCATAGTAAATATCTGAAACTGATTTTTTTTAAAATCATTCTCCAATCATAACGTCTGTGACTGATTTATTCACTGACTGTATTGAAATAAATTTGGGCAAAAGTTTGAAATGTATACCATTGGATGTCGTCGTAATGCTTTAAAAGTCAAAAGTTCCCCGTGGAGTTTATGTGTCCTAGATTCCATGTTCAGTGGAGTTGTGGATGACCACTGATGAGAAGTTCCATATCAGGATGAAATAACTACCCAATGATTTTTGGTTTTCAGTAATTCTCTAAGTTCAGTCCCTGATGTAAACTAAAATATCTTCTAAATTTTTAGAATCATTCACTGATAAGAAATCCTTGAAATTTTATGAGTTATATTTTGATCTCCTCACATATAACTGTAGAGTTTGTAAAAAACAGTTGTTCTACAAGTACTTAAAATTGTAATTCTAATATCAAATACATTACATTGGAGCGAGTCCACTGTGTTCTTTGTCTTCAGTCCTGATCTAGTGGTGACTAGTAAAGCGTGCACTTGTTAGTTTGAGGAATAAATAGATCACATTATGCATCCAATACTACTACGGCTTTGAGACATCTTAACTACATAACATTATCTGAAATTACTCAACTATAGTCATATCAAAAATTATTATCAGCTAAAAAACTATTGAGAATTGTGAGGCATCTGCCAACTACTTCTCTTTAGTTTGACCCAATACCTAATTTCTCTGTCTCTTATAGCGAAAGTTTCAAGCCACTGAACAATTCCAAATCCAGCAGTTCATATGTATTCGACCTAAGTTGATTTCCTTTAAATACCACTGTCCTCGTTCATTGTTAACTGTGAGTTACTGCAATATTTTCAAGTTCTATTTCCAGAAAAGCAATTTGGTAAACAATCTATGTTTCTGGATTGTCACTTCACTTTAATGGAAATTAATTGAAGTTATTATGAACTTTGATTCAATAGTCTATTGGTTAAGCATAAAACCTAAATGTTCTGGATTCAATCAGTGGCGTGGTCATGTGTATACACTGATCTGTTATTGTATACAAAGACAAAGTAGGTGTCCCTTGCTTCTTGATTTTCAATAATACCCATAATTAACACCAGTCCTTGACGAATACCATACACAAATAATCTACAATCTGATTCATAGAACGAATTAATTATGGAATCAAACATATTTACTAAAGAAAACAATATTTATAATTATGTATAGATGTATTCACTTCAACAACAAAAAAAGAGAAAAACAGCCAAACGAACGATAAAGAAAAGAAAAGAAAGAAACAAAATAAAATTAAAAAACGGCAAGTGTTTAGGACAGAGATGAAGATGAACAAATCTGCATTGTTGTTATTGTTATTACTAACTTCCTCATCCTCATCCTCATCATAGCCGCTAATAAAAAAGGATTCATTGCAACCAATATTACTAATAGTCATAGTAATCTTCAACGTAATAATTACGTAAGATTACTTGAGTAATATATGTATAATATCATCATGTGTATTTCATGTTTATTTGAATATGTTTCACTTTGTGTATGGTTTTTCATTTAGTGTAATATTCTGTAAAATAATATAGAATGTGCGTGGGTATATTCCCATCATTAATGTATTCATCTGAGCTCCTCTTTGATTAATTCTCGTTGTTCATAGGGTTGTATATCAATTAGGCACATATTAACATTGTATTGTATTCATGTTAGATGATAAGTTTTTAAAATTGCTAATATGATGATCTCTTATTGTCTCCAGTTTAAAAGGAGAATATAATAATAGAATAGAATAGACTATTTAAAGGTTTACAGGTACACAAATAAAATTAATTGAAAATTGTTCATAGTATACACAAGATATATTTTTAGAAGAGAACGAGAGAGAGGGGGAGAGAGGTGGGAGGATAAAGGAAATCATTTTACCATATTCAACTATAATCATTATTTTTGTATACACATTATTTCCCAATTGTTCTGAACCCAATTTTACTTGATCTCCGAAGTTCACTACTTTCCTCTCTCCCTCTCCTTCCCTACATCTTTCAACTTATCAGATACACAACACACAAAGTAAGACAAAATAAAATTACAATAAAAATACTTAGAGAAATGTATCATCACCTTTAGATCTCATAAAGCACTACACAACACATAGGATTATGTATTGCTTTCTTCTTCTTCTTCTTATTCTTATTCTTATTGTTTCAAAAGTTTATCAACATACTCTCCAATTGAATGAAATGAAAAGATTTTAAAAAATGACTCGTTGAAAAAAATTACAAATATTATCTCATATTATTATTATTATTATTAATATAAAATGAATGTAATGTCAGTCAAAGAAATTGACAAGTAACATAGGCTGACGTAAATACATACATATACACAGCACACTTACATGTTATATATATGCAAATCGTGTATTACAATAGAACCTAATTGGAAATTACACTTACATAAGAAAATCTTAAGCTAACAACAAAGAAACCAAATGAATGAATATAGAAGAAACAAAAAAAAAGTAAACAAATAAACAATTTGTATACATAATCTTCTTATAGCCTTATTGAATACAGTTGAATTATGTACAATGAATATTCATTCATAAAATTTATTTTCTATTTTTTTTTAGATATTTTGTATTCAATACAAGTTGTATTCATTTCAAAATAAGATTTATGAAATGAGTGTGTAGAGAAGTAACGAAAGAAAATCCAACTTCCATGTTAGATTGAATACTTTCATTTCATTATTATTAGTAGTAGTACTATTACTTGAATGATATGATTTATAAGTAGTATGAATTATGTAATTTACAATGTTATAATCATTTCTTCAATTGTACTTTCTTTTTTGTTCTCCTATCCTTTTCTAAATATTCATTCAATCACCAGTAGTACCACTAATCATGTGTTCTTGTTCAGTAGATGAAGAACATAATAAATTTTTAGATAAATTTGTTATACTATCAACTAAATGTTCATTAGATAATAAAATATCTGAATGGATTTGTGGTTGTTGTGGTAGTTGTTGATTTTGTCGATTATGTTGATGTTGTTGTTGTTGAAGAGAATGCATAGATAATCCTGTACGTGTTGATCGATTTAAGTTTGTAATTGAATTTGATCCTGACACTGATACACCAGCTGCCATTGCTGCATTATTAAGTAGATTATTAAATTGTGTAGAGAAAAGTAACGATGAATTTGATGATAATGCAGATGTTGATGATGTTGAAATTGATCCTGTCAATGTAGATGAACATCCTATTCTATTTCCTCCACCTCCTACATCTCCTCTGTTTGAATTCATATTTGCACCAGCGTATACAGCTGCTGCTGCGGCTGCAGCTACTGCCATTGCTGAAATAGTTGCAGTGGAATCTGATGATGAGTTTGATGATTTACTAATCGATAAACTATTTGATTGATTTAAAAATGGATTTGAAATAAATGAATTATTATAATGACATGATGTATTTGTTACATCATTAGTTGAACTTGAATTAAATGAATTTGACATTTGTAATAGATTAGATGAATTATTCATGGTATTACTACTAATATTAGCATGAGTATTCCCAGTTAATGAATTATTTCTTCGTGAGGTTGATCTTTCTCGATGAGTTTTTTCATTTAATGGACTATTCGTATAATTTGATTTATTGGTTATACAAGGATTTGTTGGTACGTATTGATTTGATCCAATACTGTTATTATTAGTACCAGTATTTGATGTTGGGGATGGAGGTGAAGAAGCTGATGATGATGCTCCACCGCCACCACCTCCTCCGCTACCTCCACTGGGTGTTGTAGTGTTACAATTTTCACTGGTGACTGTTTTAAAAACTCCTGATTGGAGAACAAGTCGGCCTTGCATTAATGGTTTAACATAACGTCGTCGAGCATTAATAAACCAATTATTCACTGTTGTACGTGATAATCCAGTTTCCATAGCAAGCATCATTTTTTCCTCTTCTGAGGGATATGGTTCTCTCAAATGATCAACTAACCAACCGAATAGACGTTTCCGTGCTGGAAATGGTAGATTAGTTCTAGACAACCCAACAGCTCGTCGAATACTAAATAATGCACCCGATCCAACGCCACCACCACTAGGCGATGATGACGAAGATGAAGGCACTGTTGTTGTTGGCGTTGATGTTGATGACGTGGTCATTAATGTAGTAGTTGTATTATTATTGACTGACAAGTTTATTGATGAATTTTCATCAGATTCTGTTGAATTCGAGTCGCCCATATTATTATTATTAGTTCCAACATTATTGTTGTTTATCAACGATTCAGTGAAATTTCGATGGTAATGGGGATGATAATGATGATTCCGTTTTTGATCATGATTCATGGCAGAACTAGGTGATAAATTTGTTCGACTAGCTCGTCCACTACTAATACTACTACTACTTACATTCCCTGCTTTGGTACTATTCGTATTATTACTATTAATGCTATTGTTGGCACTCATCATATTCCCAGTGAAATTATGATTACATGATTTATTTAAAAACTTCAATTCATTATTTGTATGTAGATGAGCAGTGTTGATCTCTTTGTTTGGTGATTGGCCATGTTTCATTGATTCTAATAGATCTAAAGTATTTAGAAAGTTTTTGAAAAAAATGAAAGAGCCGTAAACAAAAACTCAGTGAAATATTTATCAATTATTATTAAATCAATTGAAATTGCAACTGTACTGTTGGATGTTAATGCAGTGGATTTTATTAATCAAACATTCACTCCGAAATTTAAATATTCCAGGTTGAGGGTGGGAGAACATCTGGAACTCAAAACAACTGTCAACCAACACCAAGGTCGGAATTTTCAATGCAAATGTCAAGACAGTCCTACTGTATGGGGCGGAAACCTGGAGAACTACGAAAGCCATCCTCCAGAAGATACAAGTGTTTATTAACAGTTGTCTAAGCAAAATACTTCGGATCCGTTGGCTAAACACTATAAGCAACAATCTACTATGGGAGAAAACAAACCATATCTCAGCGGACGAAGAAATCAGGAAGAAGCGTTGGAGGTGGGGAGGACACACATTGAGGAAAGCACCAAACTACATCACAAGGCAAGCGCTCATATGGAATCCTCAAGGACAAAGGAGGAGAGGAAGATTAAAGAACACATTACGTTGAGAAACGGAGACTGATATGAGAAGAATGAATAACAATTGGATAGAACTAGAAAAGAAGGCCCAAGACAGAGTGGGTTGGAAAGTGCTCCATCGAGAGTAACAGGGGTACGTAAGTAAGGTTGAGAGTGAGCTTATTAGATTGCAACAGATCTTCTGTAGGACTAAGCAGGAAATTTAAGCTCATGTTGTCTTACCACTAACCTGCACTTGGCATCCTAGTATAGTGCACAAGATGTCAAACCACTTATACAATTGATAGAATTGGAATTTGATCGGTAGAACTTGATCAGTATGAAAATGATTAGACAAACACACAGTTGGTTACCACTAAGTGGTCATAAAGTGAAAATCAAGGTATTGTTAAAATCCGAAAATTCAATAATTTCATACTCAATAATTAAACATTACTATATACATAAAAAATGGGATTGAATCAATCTTAGGGACTTAAACTTTGTCTTTGAAACAAATAATGCCGTAGAATAATATTGTGGAAACAATTAAATATTCTTGATGCAGCTTAAAAGTGTACAGAATTTATTCCATGTTTTCTTTAATCACAAAATGAATCACTTCGTTACATTTCAGTTTTTATTAGGATAGAAACTGATGATGTTTATTAAATTTTATGGTTTACATTACGAACTGACTTAAATTGGACAACCATTAAAAACCAAGAAACATTGGACTTGAGTTGAATGATCCACTGCTGAAAGTTTGATCGCTAACAATCCCACACACAATTTTTTTCCGAATAAATAGAATTAATGTTTAACATTAACCCCTAAGAGACTTGCCGCTTAGCAAGCATACAAACAGTTCGGTACGAAACCAGTTGAATCTCAAGCAGTAAGTCCATGAATGACAAACAAAACTAGATCACTTCAAAAGTGTAGAATGTTTAAATGGTTACAATAACGGAGTAAAATGCACACCGTAACTACGTCAACCGCTAACCCATCACCCTTGGCAGAACATACAATCCAAAAGTAACGTGAACAAAATCAAAGTACATTATGATCTATATATTCTGATTTAGAAATCAATTAGAACTGATTAATACTTTCAGACAGTTGTATTTGAAATAACAAACTACAATTTGCTTAAGGTAACTAGCTTACAAAGTATAATATGTGATGCTTACTGCTAAAGACTCTATACTAAATCAAAACAAATGTTCAATGCTTCCTGGTTTTCAAAGGTTACCTAACTTAGATTAATCCCTAATGCAAATTACAAAATTCTAATTACTTTCTAATATATATTCAATTGAATAATAATGAATCGTAATTTTTAAAAACTTATGATATATCGTATTTAATTATTGACTATTATCGTTTCAATAGTTGAAATCATGAGTCAATTGAAGCTAGACAACCATCGAAAACCTCGAAGCACTGGACGGCGGTTTCGTTCCAGTATGGGACTCCTCAGCAGTACGAATCCATGACAACGTCCTCCCCTCAAGAGATTCGACCTCAGCACATATCAGTCTCGCATACGAGCGCCTAACCATTAGATCACTGAGCCGGTTGGTATCCAATGGTGTTAATGTCTAACTTCAACTAATCCACGAAATTTCGCCACCGTACACCATTATCTTCAGTGAGTTGATATCTCACAACAAACCCAGTTGAACTCCACTTGTCACTGCTTGTCACTAGAACTCCAGGAAATGTCTCTTGATGTCAGTTACTAGTGAGCAGATGATTATCATTTGGTTATTGATCAAATACTAATAATCATTTCATTTTATAACATAGTTCATTCAAGATCAATTTTCAAATTGTTTATATTCTATCATGAACACATTAGAAAAAAAATCATCTTGTTTTCTCATAACTACATTTCTTTAAAGTTTTTGTTTTACCATTTAAATATTATTTAATATTTATTAAAATAAATCTTATAAATAATTCATTGTAAACAATATCAAATAACAACAAACTATAATAATCATATGGATAGTTTGAAAAATAGACATTTTTTCTCAAGTTTTAACACTATTTGTTTATCACCATCATCAATATATTTTTTTAAAAAGTGTCATTCTATTTTACCCCTCCTTTTATACATCAAATTACTGATTGATTGACTAAACAACTGACTAGCTGAACAATGTAAACAACTTAACTCTGTCAGTCAGTAAATAATCTAACTTACTTATGTATATGTATATATATACATATATATCCCTTATGACAGACAGATACTTTTATTAGTATAGATTATTGAAAATAGTTTTGGGTGGCATCTCTTAGTTCAGTATTCATAGACAATTATTTTTTTTTTAGGACATTTGGCAGGCAGATAGGCAGGTAGGCAGTTGTCTGAACTTTGTTGAGTTGTATACACATTTATGTATACATACATATTACAGTCAGCATGGGGATTTTATAGGTGATTTTTAACGACATTTTGATTGACAGGAAAAATATTATCCCTTCAGTGAATATGTATGTACTTACATGTGTAACTGATAGACACACTAACTTAAATGACTGACTGATTGATTGATAGAAAGAGATGGATAATTTGTCCATGAGTTTGTATGTATGCATTTGTGTATGTGCTCATTCGTTTAAAAAAATGGATATAACGTACATCCATGATAAATATGGTCATGCATTCTGTTTAACTCTTATTAGGTGGTGGAATACCCTGTTTCTCTCTCTCTCTCTTTCAATCTTATGTCTTTCACACTCACATTATATAGTTCTGTGAAGAAGGAAATGAGAGAGAGGACAACAAATAGAAGGAAGATTGGATGAATGAATAAGTAAATGGATGAATGATTGATCGACTGATTTTGACTGAATGGGATAGTAGAAGCTAAAAGTGACTAGCTCACTACAACCACGTATATAAATAGTGAGGATATTTCAATGCAATTTAGTATATCATTTAACAAAAAAGAATGAAAAATCATTGAAGTAACATGATAACATAAGAGAGAACAAAAATTACAACACATTGAGAAGAATAGTTAGTAGCACGAACATGATGACAATAATGATAGTTGTAATCCTATCACTATTGGTACTACTATTATTACTGTTAGTGACAACAAAAACATGAAAACAAAATAGAAGAACAATAGTCGCAATAAACACTAACCAAAGTGATTGAGTGAATCAAAAACCAAAAACAGAAAACAATGTGATATATTTTATTAGGAAATTAATAAAGGAAAGCAACAGAATTATTGAATAGATAGATAGTTAATGTTACAAGTAATCCAATCTATTTATCTATCTATCTATCCATCAATCTATTATGTACAAGTGTAAATACATGAATATGAGTATATCTGTATTGTTTCTATAATTCGCAGTAAGAAAATTGTTCACTTATTCAGATATATACATGTACACATACATATAAAGTAACATTTGATTGACATATATCTGACATGAAAAGTCATTGATGTAGTCAAGTTTTCATAGAAAGCGTAACAATATAACAAAACACACAAAAACAAACAATTTTCTAACACTACAAAACAACATTGTATTACATGTACACATACAAATAGAGAAAAAAATGTAAGGAGAGAATTATGCATAATTATAGCTGGGAGAAATTGTAACTAACATATATTGATACATTGAATATAAAAGATTACATATTACTATGTATATTTGTTTGTATGTGTTTTTTTAAACAACAGAGAACATTTACAGGTTGATACACAATTTAATCATTATTTAATAATTAAATAACATGACGACAATAACTATTACAATGATAATGCTAATTCCTATTTATGTTATACAATAATCATTATATTAAATAAATAGACAGAATACACTACTCATCAAGAGTATAAGTAGTTTAAAATGAAATTAGTCACTTTGAATTGATTATTTATACTTTCTTTAATCTGTTAATAGGGGAACACTTATGAGAACTATTCACCAATAATAAACATAATTGTCTGATAATTTATGGTTTTGAATGATTCTTCGGTTAATAACAAATGATGATAAAAATCAATTCAGCTTATAACAAAATTCTTACAAAAGAATCTAAAATTGAATTCAAAATAGATTTATTATTTAAAATCCTTAAGTAACTATAACACGATTACATTAATATTTGAACAGTATGGACAATACTTTATGTGTCATCAACTCATTGACTATTGAAGATATTCAATTATCAATATCAATGAAATAACTATTTCATCTATTACGTTATCATTAAGAGTAGCGTAGTTTAAATAAACTGTGCATAAAATGATAAAAAAAATCAGATCTAAATTTGAACTTCAAACGTTGATCATTTATTGATTATAGTTGAATTCATGAGTCATTTGAAGCTAAATCATCATGGAAAACTTGCTGAAGAGTCCCATACTAGGACGAAAACGGCCGTCCAGTTCTTCCAGGTTTTCCATGGCGGTCTAGCTTTAATTAACTGATGAATTCAACTATAAAACTACTAAAAT